TCCATGTATACACAATATTCTTAACACTAGATTCAATCTAGAATCTAGACAGTTCAAAGTTGGTTGTATAATGCCTCAATTTCATCAAAGTCATAAAAAAACTGATTTTCAACTGACACCCTATCAATTTGAAAATATATGTCTCTCAAACAATGTGCTGCTGGACCAAGTGTGGTCAAAACAAATAAAAATTTAGTATAAAACTCTAAACCGGTATAAAAATGCATGGCTGTGTCACATGTCTTCATTTCAAAATTCTCTGCTGAAAACATAGGCATTGATGGTGTTTGCGTAATTCCATCTGTGAAGCTCAACATTAGCTCGGCAGTTGGTGGTGGACAGTCATAAATCCTTTCTGCAGTATGAATGACTTCTTTACAATCAAAACTTTCCTCTAGATTTCCACTACAATATTAATCAAGTTTAGTTCTTTTGTTTTCACAGGAAACTGCCCTGATTTTTCTTTTTGCGGACGATTCAGTCTCTTGCTTGGTCCAGGAAAATAGGCTAGGAATGGCAGTAGACTTAAGTCTCTGTATGGTGGGTTTGTGCCCTGAAAAAGGTTATAAAACATTAGTTTTTTGATAATTAAATGAACTTCCATTAGCAATGTATACTTTGTACTACCTGGCAAAATATTAACTAGATTTATTCATTACAATCTGGATAAAACTATGTTTGTCTGATTCAATGTATATTATGTAAATCCAAAGGACAAATAATGAGAGACTTGTGCAACAAACGTACATTGTTTGTACCTAAATAACTATAATATAGATGAGAGCATTTCATTGTTTTGTTCCTGTTAACATTGTCATTGATATTTTTTAAGAAAGTCTATGAGGCATAGCTTATGCGTTCCTGTCATTACTACATTAGCATAATTACTGCTAAAATAATTCTCAGTATGATATACCTCTTGTAAGAAATCATTATAATTGTAGCAATCACCAAAAAATCTCAAACAGATCACATTGAATCGTAATCCAAAAAATTCTGACGTCTTGAATTAACCACCCCCTTTTATTCTAAAACGATAATTGCGGTTGTAAACAGTCTTTGGTTTATTCGCATTGCGATTACATATATAACTATATATTTCAAAAAGAAAATAGGGTCTTACCATGAATAGTTTCCTGCACGTAGTCTTTTTCAGTAAAATGTGCCTTGCAAACAACAGCTGATTGAGATGGACTCCACGATTTCATCGTGTTCTCGTCCAATCTGCGTATGGGCCATGGCGTTGATCCAACTTTTCCTTCTTTTTAAGTCATTTGGAAATGCATGTCCTCCTCTTAAATGACATCCAGGTACACAACAACAAGTACTTGGCATCGTTAATTAAAAATGTAACTGAGTGCAGGAACCGGAAGTTGAGGAACAGGGTCGGCTACCACGGCGCCACCTATTCAGGAACGATAATTTGCTACTTTATATAACTGCGAAATAACAATAACGTTAGACGGGTTCACGTGCATAAACAGAAATGCGCTTTAAATTGTATAATATAATTCATGTTCAGTCGACCTTTAATTATTCTATCAACGACTGAAATGATTTATAAACATCTAGATTGCAGATAACACTCGAAATTAACCCGACCTCTTTCCACACGGAATTCAAATAATTCTAGTTTGCCAATCGGTTGACTGCTTATAATGCAAAATACAAATATATAAAAAGTTTTTAAAACTAACAAAACACAATTATCGTTTCTCTATTTCCCAATGTAAATGAAATGAAGCAAAAAGCATTTTATATCACAATAAGGATAGGAGAGAATTCAACATTTCCGGATCTACTTGGAGCCTAATGACCCCCCACGTAGAAAAGTTGGATATCGCGGAAGGAAGGATTAACCCTGCAACCAGAAAGGCATTAAAGCACTGCCTTTAAAAACCAGTGTCTTGCCTACTTTTGCTGTTGTCTATGTTTTCAGTGTGATAGGGGAATGCACATACTAGATACAGTTAATGAAATGGTTTATGAATCTAATAAATGTTTTAAAAACTTCAACTGCAGACTGTATGTAATTTTAACTGGAAGAAAAACTAAGTCAATTTATAAGTAATATACGGAAAAAAAGGAAATAATTTTTTACAACATTTCATTCTAGATACTAGCTTTTGATCATAAACAAGCTTCTGTCCAAAGATGGTACAAATCAAGGATAGTTTAAGAAAGTTATTAAAATTTCAAAAACTTTAACCACAGAGTGAATATTTGTGGACGCCGCCGACGACGACGACGGCGGCGGAATGCAGGATTGCTATGTCTCGCTTTTGCGACAAAAGTCGCAGGCTCGACAAAAAGTTATTGTTACATTGGATACTAATTGCCGGAATGCAGGGTTGGGTAAGGAACTGATTAATTACGAATGTAACAATAATATTCGTGTGTACGGTTACGTTGTATTATTGTTACGCTAAATTTATCAAACTCTAACCTTCTATAGTTTTGTTGCTTAATTCTTTAATAAGTAATTGATAATAATAGTAATAATAATAATAATAATGATTTTATTATTATTATTATTATTATTATTATTATTATTATTATTATTCAACAAAAAGTGATATCATAGAAATGAACTGTATGCAGCAAAAAAAGTCAACACAAAATCTTTCAATTTGTTAAGGGTAAATCATCAATAGATTCCTTATACAAGTGATTTCCATTAAAAAGCGATCTGTTTTTTTAAGCAATTAAAACGTGTTTGCCTATAGTTGTTAAAAAATCAAAGTACTTGCTGTTCAAACTTTAATAAAAACAGACAAGATTTTGAGAATATATGAAAAGTACGGCAATATGTAAATAACAGCAGATGATCACTCTTATTGACAACCTTTCTTATCTGTTATGTTTATTTGTAGTCTTTTTCACTTCATATATAATTGTATAAATGAAAATCAGATCAACATCTAAATATTGATCAACCAAGATAATTTTAATTTCAAACATTATATATTAAAATGTTTAGTTGCTTGAACACTGGCTGAGGGAGCAACAAACATACAATATTACAATAGTAACAGTATTCAGAAACTAATTTTGATGCAAGTTATATATCTCATTCCATTCACCTTATACTTCATATATTATCTTTTAATATTCCTATTAGATTTAGTTAAACTTTTCGCACATGTATTCATCCATCATTATTATATTATGACCATTGTCGATTATCAGTCGTGTAGAAGCTATCAGATGTGATATGATTTGAGTTATTTCTCTAAGAATGTAAATTGTCTATATAAAAAAAAACAAATGCGATGTGGTATGATTGCCAATGAAAAAACTTCAAATGACAAAGATGAAAGCAATCATTGGTCACCATACGACCTTTAACAATGGGGAAAACCCATACCGTGTAGTCAACTATAAATTTTTACACATTCATGTGTTTGACCTTTGTATAAGGGGGCTTGTATATAGGCTTAAGCTAGCTGTCCAATCCATTTCAATTATTTTCTGGTTAAAATATGTTCAAATTAAAAAAGACTTATCACTGGAACTCGAACTCTTTTTGCAATTATTGCAAAGTGAAATGCTGGAGTGTTAAGCACATAAGTATGGCATAATAATGAACAGGAGAACATTACAAAACAAAATTGAGTAAATTAAAGGTGTACCGAAGAAAATAAAAACCCTGTTGATGTAGCCGAATTCATATATACTTTCAACGTATGAGCCTGGTGTTAGAATGTTTATATCATAACAAGGTACCCTCTTGAAATAAATGCAAAAGATAAAGGTTTTTATATATTCTTTGTCAGAGAATCTTGATCGTATTTTGAGATTGCAACAAACGCTTGCTAACATCAAAATTACAAAATGTTTATCTAAATAATTCATTTTAAAGACGAAAGATCATTTTGTCTATTTGATTTGATCGTTTTAGTATTGTATGAAAAAAAATTTGCGCATCTCTACTTCCATCTAAAACAAAATTTTCAAAATCAAGCCCTTTCCATTGAAAATTGTTCTTACCATATCTATTTTCATGTTAAATTAATAAAATTTTCTGACACAAAAATCATTTTTAATTTGTGTATAATTGCAACACAATTAGTATTCCTATGTATAATTATGATAATAATTTGACATTATGGTTTCATGTTCATGGTCCTTCTCTTAACGAAATCACAACCAAATTGTACTGCAGACGAACTTGCAAATGTCAAAATGTACAAAACACTACTTTTCACATTACATAATAAATTTCGCAAAGGTTTGCGTTATAACGCAAACATAGAAATATAACAAAAACTCTCATAAACGGAAGCTGCACCAGTCTATTCTATATTACTTTTGCTAAAGGGTACTATAATTGTATTGCGGTAACTTATTCGAAGTGTTTTGAAAAATCAGAATACTAATATGAATTTTACTTGCAGATCAGGTGCTGCTTTTTTATGATCATGGAATTTATTGTGAAAGATTCTTCAACGTTTTCGGTCTTTATACATCCTTGGCTTTCAAATATTTGGCTTTGAGCGTTCCTGATGAAGGTAAATCCGGAAAAGCGCTTCGAACGCATTAAATTTATAACGTGTTGTTTTCATTCATTTTTTATGCATCGCTTATGTGTGTTCTCTTATTTCTTATCAAAGTATCCACAAGGAAGCAGCTGTTTATTCGATCGTCATTTTTTTATCTTTTTGTAGACATAACGTGCGTCTGCATATGCACAAAATTATAAGCCTGTTATCTTTTGTATCATATGCCTGTACCAAGTCAGGAATATGACAGTTAATTTGATGTGTTTGAGCTTTTGAATTTGCTATTTGATAATGGACTTTCCGTTTTGAATTTTCCTTGGAGTTTGGTATTTTTGTTATTTTACTCATTGTGACTTTTTCTAATATTATGAAAAAGATCTAAGTTTTGGTTAATCTATTAAGTTTCTAAATTGTTGTAGAACAGTCTGCTTTGTAATTTTTGTAAAAACGGTTATTGTTTAGAAGTTGATTTTATCAGATACTGATCATAGTGTTGAATCATTCTGACAGACATATTTATTTTTTCCTATACTTGTCTTTATATTTCAATACAGCATGCGAATTTATATCCGTCCAAACATTTTGAATAAGCAGTTTGTTAAGAGTTGACAGTATTGCTAAGTTTTGTTTACCAACATATATTTTGAAGTTAAACATTCAACAGAACTCTATTGAAGTAAATGTATTGCTATGTCTTTACCACGATTGTTTGTCCCGAACACTTATTCGATTCAATTTTCTCAACTTGAAGCATAGTTTACGCAAAATACAATACACCTGAGAACTATCCTTCGAAAATATTCGGTTTTGAACCTTTCAAACCAAGGCCCGTAACTCTAAATAGAGAACCAGATAGTGGTAAATCTTTAAGTTCTTGTTCTGTTGCTCCTGATCGGCCACACGTTACAAATAACTCATCATAATTCGGTCCACCAAAGCAGCATGATGTTATTCTTTTAGCAGGAAAGTCGATGCATTGCAATTGTTTACCTGAAATAATAACAGGCACAACTCTTTATGACTGGAATAATCTGAATACATTCTATTTTATTTTTTCTTATGCGAAACAAAAAATGTTTTCTGTGTAATATTTTGTGGGAGAATATTAATAAAAATACCGAACTCCAAGGCAGGTTGCTCGTTTTATTTCTTTTGACCATGGTATTGTCGATCATTTCTTTACTTGTGGTTGCTTGTCGCCTATGTATCGTCTATTCGTTTTTAAACTGTGGTTGCCATATATGAATAATTGTCAGGACAACAAAACACATTTATTGCACAGATTTGTCTTACTAAAGTTATTCACTTATGGTGAAACTTTTTTTTCAAGTATCCTCTTTTATATAGATTTATATAGCCAAATTGCACATTCATCACTCTGGGTATAGGATGTATCATAGGCCTGAACAAATATTTTAAATAGTGGAATTTTCAGATCTTAAAGGCCAAACTCCTTTGACTTTGTGTACATGTACACAATTGTGTTTCATTATCTAAAATAGGTATACTGTTTTCAAAATTTTCTGGAAGTCAAAATGTAAATGTGCTACGAAATGGAAAGATGACAATCGAAAAGTTTTAATCATCATGTTTGTCATATATCTAGCGTTAAGTCGTACATCTGTGGAGATCGAGATATGAAGGAGACCTTCTAGTTTCGTTAGTATCCTTAATCTCAAGTTCACTGGGATATATGAGATGCAAGCACGCACTGCAATGCGGATTGTTGAATGAAAGGACATCATCAATATTATTAAAGTGAAATTAAAGAGCTTTGTAAGATGATTTTCCATATTGTCTTTGAGTAGACTTATGACTGCTGCTTCATATGGGTACAACCAAGTCGACCAGTAGTGGTGCATGATAAGTACTCATGGGAATTCTGACTGTCTGTCGGAATATAAATCCACAAAACTAAACACATATGGTTTGGTGCTTGAAATAAATACAACCACATTGCACAATTTTATATTTACCAGTGTCAGGGTCAAATCTAACGACTTTAGCACCATCATAGCAAGCCACCCATATCTTGTCTTCGGTGTCAATAGTCATTCCATCTGGTAAACCTAACGTTCCTAGTGCTTCAAAATCTACTATGACTTTTTCATTGGCTATATGAAACAAAGAAATTTGTGCAATTAACAACTAAAAAGCAAGGACAAGTTAACGTGTTAACATTGACAAGCTAAACAATATTTGTATGAGATGACGAAAAATTCCAACTATGCATAAATGTAAAGAAATATTTTCCGGCCTTTTGGAATAAAACGACATTTAAACGAGCTTCAGACCAGTGATTCTGGACCATTAAATCCCTCAAATCAAAACGTGATACCTGTCGTATTTAAGTCTTCAGTAAAAAAGGAAGGAAAAATTGTATTTTAGACGATGAAGTGGTAGACCTTTGAATCTATATTCATTCAAGTTCAGAAAAACCTTAGAAAACTTGAAATGAATTCCATCTACTCAAGTTCATTTTGAAATTTTATGTTTATACTTTTGATTATTTAATATGAGTAAAAATTGTGTGGCGTAAAGATAAAATAAAGGCGGACGATAACCAGGAGTCAATCAAGACTGGTTGAAGACATCATTGTACAAAAACAATACAACGAGATGATAAACAACAGTCTACAAAACACAACATAAAAAACAAAAAACTATAGACCAAGCAACACGCATCAAGCGAAGGGATCTCAGGTGCTCCGAACTTCAACTTTACCTATTTGAAACCTTGGTATAATAGTTTGATTTAAGAAGAAACCATCTATCAAGGAAGTCATGATAGGAAAGGCAAGTTTTGAAATATTATGTCCACTGGGATATACGATGCCGATTTAGTTATATCTGTGGTATCCTTTATTTTAACTTTGAAAACTAAATAAGGTGACAGTTGTTGATCTCGTATTTTGATAAGGAAGAGACCAATCAAGGTAACAAACGAAGTTGGGGTGGGGTCTCTTTTCCCCTAAAGGGGCGAGTCCAGTATGTCGACAGGGGAAACGTCTCCTGATATTCATGCATCAACCGCGGTGCACAATTGCAAAACAACCCTGCATTTTTCTATAAAAAAACAATAAATCAACAACTTACTAAAGGTTCCTGTTTCTACATCGTAGTCCATTCCATAAACCTTTCCAGGTATTGAGTCTATATAATACATCCTTTTATTATCAGAGGACCATGTCAATCCATTAGATATGGTGACTTTCTCCATATGTTTCTTCACCGTTCCGTCAGTATATAAACAATATAAAGATCCTTGCTCTTTCTCGGGCATTTCTGGTAGTCTATCAGCCCCCATTGTTCCTATTTGATATCAATAATAGACACTTTTCATTATATAGATTCCCATTTCTTTACATCTTTCAATTCATTCATTTGGTTCTGTACGTTTCTGATAAAGGTAACTCATAACATGAACAGCAAATACATGAATATTTAAATGTAAGTAAATTTTCCTCACAGTTCGACAGTACAGACAATAGGCAAGCAATTCAAATATTTTAAAAATCTATCTCTCATGATCAAATATATCTAACTAAGATATCATTAAATAACTGTGAACAAGGGAATTTTCTTGCCACCAGAATAAGATGCAAATCGATCTGTTAAGGCAATACTATACAAAATCACAAAAATGAAGAATTTGTGAATTAAAATAATGAGATGTATTATGATTGTCAACGAGACAATTATCATATATTGTTGACGTTATCAACGTGATGCTTAAATCCACATACGGTCATCGTCACTAACAATGAATTCGTATATATAGGTATGACAGTCACTATACAGTATCACCCTTGGTCCTGCATCCTGTCCATATTTATATTTGTGCAGTGTACAAGGCTATGATTTTTTCAGACTGTCTTTACACTAAATTCATTAAATGTGTTAACAACTAAGGATGCATAAATTCTTGAAAACATGTGGAGCTATATGGCCAAAAGGTGTCTTCATAAGAATAGCCAAATCCACTACAATCAACTTTGTCTGAGGGAGAAATAAACTACATTACTGACGAAGTTCCTGACTACAGGTTACAGTTAATAAATGTTTGATACATGTATATGTTTTATGGACATCTTTAAAATATTCTATTGCACAATGACTATCATGAGCATGATCTAAATGAATTTGAGGTCAAGCAAAATGCAAATGTGAAAGTGCATATTATGTTCTATATACAAATTATGCATTCTTGCAAAACCATATTACACGTAATGATAATCATCAAAACAAACAAGACAATTTTTAACCACAAAAATTTCATTATAGACCAACTAAAGCATTTATTTTTGTAACGTTTCCCATGTCCTCTATAAGTTCATTTCCTTACCAAACCATAAACGTCCCCTGGCATCACATTTCCCATCGTTCATCCTTGTATCAACGGTTTTATCAACCTCCATAATCACACTGACTTTTTTTGAGTTCCAATCTATGACTGATATCGTTTTTCCATAACCAATTACATGGCCACCTTTTGCACGTGGAATTATAAATCCCAGAACTTTTTCTGTAAAGAAATTAGAGATAAAAAGTAAGAAGTCACTTATATAAACAAAACCATAAAAACCTTATCATTTTTCATTCTTTTTTAAAAACTTTTTTACATGTCTGTTCATTCAAAGCAGATTAAGTATCACGAAATGAGATATTCTCGTCTACACATGGAAATAAAATAATGTTTATGCTTGTACACTCAATCCATTTCGTGTTACCGTCCCACTATTCCTTCATTTAAAAACGGAAAGTGAAAGAACAATAATAGAACAATGAAATGAGCGCAAGACTAGGAAAATCCCGAACACCTAAAGGTAAGGTTTTTTTTTAATTTCGAATTAGCTCGATAGAGACTGGATATCTCATCCCTTGTTGTTTAATGCTTAACTAAGTTTTAAAAATATTTGGAACTAATACTTGTATATTGTTTTTGTTTCATTAGAAATTGAAGTTGAATTGTGTTTGTTTTCATATGTTGAGATTGATTCTTACTATACATCTCAATTTAATTGTACATTCTTGATATATTAATCGTACCTAGACTGTTTTATATAACGAATAATTTAGAACCACCTGACACTAAATATGTACCATTGCTCATTGTATAATTTTCTGTGTATCTACCGTTACTTCAGTTATGTATAAGCCCTCCGCTTGTAATTTCCACTATTTTGTACAATGTAGAATGATATCTAATATATCGAATGAGTTTATCTATATCTTTTATTAATATACACATACCCTAAATATTTTGGAATTCAATATTTTTAGTTCTTTTTTTGTGTGTACTTTGTTTATATACTGTAGCAATATATTTTTACATAATATTACTTAGTATTGCTATATACCAGAGAGTGTAATTAAAAATGAATATAGTTAACAAGCTACATCAAGAATAAATGAAACATTTTTACTACGTATCGTGTATATCAAGAAAAAAGAAATGCCACAAACATTACACAGAAAGTTACATTGCGATCAACTTGAATCTAACTTAACAGGAAGTGAATGTACAAGAAAAAATCATCTAAGAGACTAGTATTTTTCCCAGCAAAATTCATGCATACTTACCAAACTGAATCATCTGTACTTCTTTAGTTCTGTAATTCCAAGAGAAAACTTTTTTCCCTAAATTATCTATGAAAAATAGTGTTTGTGTAGCTTCATCCCAATGGGGACCTTCCCCTGTGCCAGTGAAGACATTCTCCAGTAAAACCTCTACAGACATTTTTGGAATAATATTAAATCTAAAATTAAAGTAAATGCTACAATACTGTATAACATGACACAACTGTAAAATGACTCATATTCATTGCTTAGTATATACAGTTCCCACCTGTTTTAACTTATTCCAATGATTGGCATATCTCAATAACTATGCTACATTATATATTTATTTTGTACACTGTCATATATCTCATTGTAAGTACCGATTCTGTGATACTTCGCAAACGGTGATGTCACGATCGAATAAAAGAGGACGGAATTGTGACTACGAGAGATTGAACAAGTACGTTGTCATCTTTGACACAGGTATTCTAAACTATCATCTTAATTCATGTTGGGGTCAGTAAATGACCTCTTCAATTTTACATTTTTAAAATTTGATTTGATAGCTGCTTTGAAAGAACAATAAAAATTATGATAAGAAACACAAACCGCGGAACATCATTTCAACTGCGAGATGTTAAACTCCATATTCAGGCGCTGATGGAATGATGTTACATAGAAATGGAAAGTTCACAATGTGAAAACTGAAATCATCTATTTTGTCGTAAAGTTCAGTTCTCAACTGAACCTCACAGTCAATTTCAAGATACCATAGGTCAAGATATGAAACCGACTTAACTCCTTTGTTTTATGTTCAATCTGATAGATTCAATCAACAAAGTCACCAAACTTTATTTGAATCCTATAGTGCAAGAATACCATCTATAAATCGAAACTCGAAGCTAATGATCAATAGCCACTTCTTTTTTTCTATTTTTCAATCATTCTTTATAAATGTTTTTAACATGTGTTTAAAATGGAAGCTTATAACAGAGTATTAACGTTTATACTGCGCCAAATATAGTTAAAAAGTTATATTTCATATCACGTCACTTTTCTTCACAATTGGGGTTGAAAAATGCGATCTATTGTTGTCTAAATATTTTCCTAACTATAACTGTAGCTATTTAAGGTTTAGTTTAAAAAAAAACACATTCGTTTTGCAATGCCGTCTCATAAAATGTAAATATACAATATTAGGTCAATGTCAGAAAATATCAACTTTTTGTATCCTGTACGAAAGAGGTTTCTAAGTCTTAAACAAAAAAGTTGATATTTTCAGACGTTGAAATTTTGCTAAAAAAGGACGAAGTACCCAGGTCTGGAAAAATGAGAAAAAATCCTCAAATAATTCCACCAAGACAGGTGCACAACATATGTGCAATTTTACTGTGAAGTATTAGGGATTTGGGTTAAAAACTATAGGAGTTGATTACATGAATTGTGTACCCTCATAGATTTTGTGGGGGGAAAAAAAACGTTCCAAGGTCTAAAAAAATGAGAATAAAATTATTTAACCATTACAGAGAGAACTTTTAATTTATGGACTAAGACCGTGTTCACATTTAGCTTAACTGGGTGTGGTATTGGTCTCATCATCACGTAAAATAAACTCTACTACGTTCCCATTGATAAAAAAAATGTTGGAATTTTGTCAAAATCAGGATTTGGTTACATGCCGTCGTTAGTCAATGCAAGAAACCGATTTAATAGTTCAAAACTCAAACTATTGTTTTATTATTAAATAAAGGCGGGATTCAGCTGGCCCCTAAACAATAATGTTTACTAGTTCAGTGAAATGGACGCCACACATAACTCTGAAACATTCAAATGTACCAAAGTTAAAACTCTTACAAATTAACAAAGGCTTAAGGTTGCTTACTTTGGATTGGCGCAAAATTGCGGCAAAGTTAAACATGTTTTGTGAGATCTCAACCCTCCCCTATACATCTATCCAATGCGGAATAAACAAACACACAGCATTACGCACAGTAAAACTCGGTTTAAAAGAAGTTCGATTCCAATGTAAGAATAGGCAACAACAAAACTACGCAAAATGACAGTGATTACCATAGATTAACGAAGGACTAAAATTTACGATAAAAGAGATGATTTTTCATTTCCTATTGTTAAGTATCCTTTATTAGATGGTGGCGTTCTCTTGGTAATAAGCTTCTCGTAAGAGATATAGATATCAAGATCCAGAAAAGGTCATTTGTCATTGTTAGTATTAGCTTATTTAAAGAAAGTTCAACAGGATAAATCTCTTTAGTGTACATAGTGTTCTATTATAAATGATTCCCATGTCCCAAAATATAAGATTTGGATTGAAAAGCATCTCCAAACGAGGTGATAAAGGGACAAAAGACAAAATGTGTTAACAAATTCCTTTACCGCAGATTGTGAAACGTCCCGTCATTCCTTATATTTCTAATCTATATTCTACAAATTTAGGTTATCACCACCTTTATGTCTTGACAATTAGATTTTACAGTATGACTTCGTTTACGTTGCCTTTTCTCTAGATAAGAATAATTTAAGGTTTGGCTAGCCAAAAACCAGGTTCAACCCACCATTTTTTCTTAAAATGTCCTGTACCAAGTCAGGAATAAAGCAGTTGTTATCAAATAGTTCGTTTCTATTTATGTTGGCGTTTGTTTTTGTTGCACTCCTGTTGTTCATTTGTTTTCCTCTTATAGTTGATGTGTTTCCCTCGGTTTTAGTTTGTAACCCGGATTTGTCTTCTCTCAATCGATTTATGACTTTTGAACACCGGTATACTACTGTTGTCTTTATTTAAAAGTGACAAAATACCAATGATGGCCCTTAAGTTCATTTTACCACTGGACCAAGATGTTAAATCACGAACTGACATTTAGTTCTGGTTTCCACCTTTAACTTTCTACCACCTTACAGGTTATTTCCTAATTCATATCGGTTCTGAATATATCATTTACAGCTTAGTGTTCTATTATTTATGATTCCCATGTCCCAATATATAAGATTTAGATTGAAAAGCATCCCCAAACCTCGTTACTTCGATAAAATATCAAAATGCTGCAAGCGCCACATTAACTAATAACAGACCTTGATCTCTTATCAATACCATTGAGAGCCAAAATATCATCGAAAATATCTAAAAGTTTTATCAAATGTTTGTATCAGAAGTTGTTTCGACGTTTCTTTATTGATTTTAGACATAAATTGTGATTCGTACCAGTACAAATGAAAACATAAATAGTTCAATTAAAATCAATGTATTGCATATTTTGATCTCTAATCTACTCGTGTAAACAATTCTCATGTAGATGGGATTAAACCCTGAACAGATGAGAACAACTTTAATATGAGAACAGTGCTCCTTACATTAAACCGCTGAACAGATGAAAACAACTTTAATATGAAAACACTGCTCCTTACATTAAACCGCTGAACAGATGAGAACAACTTTAATATGAAAACACTGCTCCTTACATTAAACCGCTGAACAGATGAGAACAAATTTAATATGAGAACAGTGCTCCTTACATTAAACCGCTGAACAGATGAGAACAAATTTTGATATGAGAACAGTGCTCATTACATTAAACCGCTGAACAGATGAGAACAAATTTTGATATGAGAACAGTGCTCCTTACATTAAACCGCTGAACAGATGAGAACAACTTTTGATTTGAGAACAGTGCTCATTACATTGAACTATAATTGTAAACATGTTTACAGAGCGAAAACATACTTGGTAGCTCTCATCATGATGCAGTCAATGTGGCAATATTGACGAGAGCTAAGCTAGTGATGAAAAAGACATGTAGCCACATAACTGTTTAAAGCAGAAATATGCCACGGTGAAACTGAAGAATTGTGTATTTGGTCCAACCTTAGAAAAAAAATGTCGTGTACTTCAAAGTGATACATAATCGAGGAATATTAAATCCAGTACAGAGTATATATGTTCATGTAGTCTCTTATTCTTAACTGGAACTCTGATATTACAATCAATAGTTGTCCCGGGTGTTAACTTTTCTAGTTTCTAGTTTACTTTATTCACACATTGTAACGTGTAGACAGTTGCAAAGATTAATACTTTTAAACAGTAAAATAAAAGGTCAGAAGAATACTGAAAGACAGAGAGTAAACCACTAAAGCAATTTAAAAATCGTATTAATTTATTTATGCCAAATCAAGAATAATCATCGATTATTTATAATAAAGCGGTGTGGATTTATTAAATATATTTACCTGGTTTTACCCTCAGTTACAATATTCTTGTATTAAAACTAACCATGACCTCACTGGTTATCTGAAAATAAATAATTGGGAATGTTTACAATTGACAAACAAATGATAAAAACAATTTTATCAGAGATTCTGAAATTTTTACTTCACATTTTATACACTAACTGAATTGTATGAATTAGCTGAGACAATAAAATGAAATAATGCTTAACGGAATTTTGTTTGTCATTAGCAACATTAATTATTGCGAGTGCTTCTAGGGACTGCTTACCCTTCCGGAACACGTGAGAGATACTTCGGTTTTGATGAGGGTTTGTGTTGCCAAACCTTTAGTTTTTTGTTTGGTGTTTTGTGGAGCGTTGTTTATAATTTCTACTTCCTTCTATTGGCTATGATGTTGTCTGTTTTTCTAATTTCCTTCTATTGGCCATGATGTTGTCGGTTTTTCTACTTCCTCCTATTGGCTATGATGTTGTCGGATTTTCTACTTCCTTCTATTGGCTTTGATGTTGTCTGTTTTTCTACTTCCTTCTATTGGCCATGATGTTGTCGGTTTTTCTACTTCCTTCTATTGCCATGATGTTGTCGGGTTTTCTACTTCCTTCTATTGGCAATGTTGTTGTCTGTTCAGTTTTCTACTTCTTTCTATTGGCCATGATGTTGTCTGTTTTTCTACTTCCTTCTATTGGCCATTATATAGTCTGTTTTTCTACTTCCTTCTATTGGCCATGATGTTGTCTGTTTTTCTACTTCTTTCTTTTGACCATGCTGTTGTTGTCTGTTTTTCTACTTCCTTCTATTGGCCATGATGTTGTCTGTTTTTCTACTTCCTTCTATTGGCCATGATGTTGTCTGTTTTTCTACTTCTTTCTATTGGCCATGATGTTGTCTGTTTTTCTACTTCCTTCTATTGGCCATTATATAGTCTGTTTTTCTACTTCCTTCTATTGGCCATGATGTTGTCTGTTTTTCTACTTCTTTCTATTGACCATGCTGTTGTTGTCTGTTTTTCTACTTCTTTCTATTGGCTATGATGTTGTCTGTTTTTCTACTTCCTTCTATTGGCCATGATGTTGTCTGTTTTTCTACTTCCTTCTATTGGCCATGATGTTGTCTGTTTTTCTACTTCCTTCTATTGGCCATGATGTTGTCTGTTTTTCTACTTCTTTCTATTGACCATGCTGTTGTTGTCTGTTTTTCTACTTCTTTCTATTGGCTATGATGTTGTCTGTTTTTCTACTTCCTTCTATTGGCCATGATGTTGTCTGTTTTTCTACTTCTTTCTATTGACCATGCTGTTGTTGTCTGTTTTACTACTTCCTTCTATTGGCCATTATATAGTCTGTTTTTCTACTTCCTTCTATTGGCCATGATGTTGTCTGTTTTTCTACTTCTTTCTATTGACCATGCTGTTGTTGTCTGTTTTTCTACTTCTTTCTATTGGCTATGATGTTGTCTGTTTTTCTACTTCCTTCTATTGGCCATGATGTTGTCTGTTTTTCTACTTCCTTCTATTGGCCATGATGTTGTCTGTTTTTCTACTTCCTTCTATTGGCCATGATGTTGTCTGTTTTTCTACTTCCTTCTATTGGCTATGATGTTGTCTGTTTTTCTACTTCTTTCTATTGGCCATGATGTTGTCTGTTTTTCTACTTCTTTCTATTGACCATGCTGTTGTTGTCTGTTTTTCTACTTCTTTCTATTGGCTATGATGTTGTCTGTTTTTCTACTTCCTTCTATTGGCCATGATGTTGTCTGTTTTTCTACTTCCTTCTATTGGCCATGATGTTGTCTGTTTTTCTACTTCCTTCTATTGGCCATGATGTTGTCTGTTTTTCTACTTCCTTCTATTGGCCATTATATAGTCTGTTTTTCTACTTCCTTCTATTGGCCATGATGTTGTCTGTTTTTCTACTTCTTTCTATTGACCATGCTGTTGTTGTCTGCTTTTCTACTTCCTTCTATTGGCCATTATATAGTCTGTTTTTCTACTTCCTTCTATTGGCCATGATGTTGTCTGTTTTTCTACTTCTTTCTATTGACCATGCTGTTGTTGTCTGTTTTTCTACTTCTTTCTATTGGCTATGATGTTGTCTGTTTTTCTACTTCCTTCTATTGGCCATGATGCTGTCTGTTTTTCTACTTCCTTCTATTGGCCATGATGTTGTCTGTTTTTCTACTTCCTTCTATTGGCTATGATGTTGTCTGTTTTTCTACTTCTTTCTATTGGCCATGATGTTGTCTGTTTTTCTACTTCTTTCTATTGACCATGCTGTTGTTGTCTGTTTTTCTACTTCTTTCTATTGGCCATGATGTTGTCTGTTTTTCTACTTCCTTCTATTGGCCATGATGTTGTCTGTTTTTCTACTTCTTTCTATTGACCATGCTGTTGTTGTCTGTTTTTCTACTTCCTTCTATTGGCCATTATACAGTCTGTTTTTCTACTTCCTTCTATTGGCCATGATGTTGTCTGTTTTTCTACTTCTTTCTATTGACCCTGCTGTTGTTGTCTGTTTTTCTACTTCTTTCTATTGGCTATGATGTTGTCTGTTTTTCTACTTCCTTCTATTGGCCATGATGTTGTCTGTTTTTCTACTTCCTTCTATTGGCCATGATGTTGTCTGTTTTTCTACTTCCTTCTATTGGCTATGATGTTGTCTGTTTTTCTACTTCTTTCTATTGGCCATGATGTTGTCTGTTTTTCTACTTCTTTCTATTGACCATGCTGTTGTTGTCTGTTTTTCTACTTCTTTCTATTGGCCATGATGTTGTCTGTTTTTCTACTTCCTTCTATTGGCCATGATGTTGTCTGTTTTTCTACTTCTTTCTATTGACCATGCTGTTGTTGTCTGTTTTTCTACTTCTTTCTATTGGCCATGATGTTGTCTGTTTTTCTACTTCTTTCTATTGACCATGCTGTTGTTGTCTGTTTTTCTACTTCTTTCTATTGGCTATGATGTTGTCTGTTTTTCTACTTCCTTCTATTGGCCATGATGTTGTCTGTTTTTCTACTTCCTTCTATTGGCCATGATGTTGTCTGTTTTTCTACTTCCTTCTATTGCCATGATGTTGTCTGTTTTTCTACTTCCTTCTATTGGCCATGCTGTTGTTGTCTGTTTTTCTACTTCCTTCTATTGGCCATGATGTTGTCTGTTTTTCTACTTCCTTCTATTGGCCATGATGTTGTCTGTTTTTCTACTTCTTTCTATTGGCCATGATGTTGTCTGTTTTTCTACTTCTTTCTATTGGCCATGATGTTGTCTGTTTTTCTACTTCTTTCTATTGGCCATGATGTTGTCTGTTTTTCTACTTCCTTCTATTGGCTATGATGTTGTCTGTTTTTCTACTTCCTTCTATTGGCCATGATGTTGTCTGTTTTTCTACTTCCTTCTATTGGCCATGATGTTGTCGGGTTTTCTACTTCCTTCTATTGCCATGATGTTGTCTGTTTTTCTACTTCCTTCTATTGGCCATGTTGTTGTCTGTTCAGTTTTTTACTTCCTTCTATTGGCCATGTTGTTGTCTGTTTTTCTACTTCCTTCTATTGGCCATGATGTTGTCTGTTTTTCTACTTCTTTCTATTGGCCATGCTGTTGTCTGTTTTTCTACTTCTTTCTATTGGCCATGCTTTTGTCTGTTTTTCTACTTCCTTCTATTGGCCATGTTGTTGTCTGTTTTTCTACTTCCTTCTATTGGCCATGATGTTGTCTGTTTTTCTACTTCTTTCTATTGGCCATGCTGTTGTCTGTTTTTCTACTTCCTTCTATTGGCCATGATGTTGTCTGTTTTTCTACTTCCTTCTATTGGCCATGATGTTGTCTGTTTTTCTACTTCTTTCTTTTGGCCATGATGTTGTCTGTTTTTCTACTTCCTTCTATTGGCCATGATGTTGTCTGTTTTTCTACTTCTTTCTATTGACCATGCTGTTGTCTGTTTTTCTACTTCTTTCTATTGGCCATGATGTTGTCTGTTTTTCTACTTCTTTCTATTGACCATGCTGTTGTCTGTTTTTCTACTTCTTTCTATTGACCATGCTGTTGTCTGTTTTTCTACTTCCTTCTATTGCCATGATGTTGTCTGTTTTTTTACTTCCTTCTATTGGCCATGATGTTGTCTGTTTTTCTACTTCCTTCTATTGGCCATGATGTTGTCGGTTTTTCTACTTCCTTCTGTTGGCCATGATGTTGTCTGTTTTTCTTCGATTTGTGGTTTTTAATTGCCCTTTTGCTATCCTGTTTCTTTTATATGGTTTACTTTTATAAATTTTGACTTGGATGGAGAGTTGTCTCATTGGCACTCATACCACATCTTCTTATATCTATATATTATGTTATTATCATTTATCCATATCTGAAATGAATAATATTTTTTCTTAACATATGACGTAAGGTATAATAGTAGCTTTTGCTTGCAAAGATTCTTCTGAAGCAATTCAAACATATATCAAGTTTTAGCTTCCAAGAAAGCTTACATTATTCTGAACATCGAAAGCTTTTGTTTTGTGGTCAACAGCCTAATCATCTCCGAACAGGATAGTCAACAGATAGTACGTCCAAAACGGGCACATTCAATTAAACATAATTTGATTGGTCCGTGACTAACTCTATTCAATAAAGAATTTAATGATTTGCTACTATAAATAAATTTGTCATCGTGATTATAGGTCGAGTTATCTCGCCTACCACCATCTTGATAGTTCGCAATTATATTATTTCTGTAGAAACAAATTATAATTACTATTAAAAAAAAATAGATGGAATATATATAATATACGCCACAAACAAAACAAAACAATCCAGGGAAAGCATTAAATTGTTTATATTGGCAATTACTAACATAATAGATATTGTAATATCGAACAACTATTAATTAACGTTTTAATAATAGTTTCTATTTTATAGAAAACAATCTTTTTAACTTATGCAAACATAACACCAAAATGACAAAAATGTTGTTAAGATACAAATCATTCATAAAAATGGAGCACATAAAACATGTAAAAGGAAAGCCCCTCACACTGACATAGACTTTCTACTGACCAACAATAACTTAAATCCCAAGTAGTAAATAGGCAAAGCATTTAACTTTTCAAAACGTCTTTATTTGCTTAAAATAGCGAGGATTTTATAAATATAAAAATCCTTGATAAAAGATATAGACGAAAATACCAAAGGGACATTCAAACTCATGAGTCGAAAACAAACTGACAACGCCATGGCAAAATAAAAAGAGATAAAGATCAAAAGACAAATAACAGTATACAAAACACAGCATAGAAAACTAAAGAATGAGCAACACAAACCCCACAAAAAAACCGGGGGTGATTTCAGGTACTACTGAAGGGTAAGCAGACCCTGCTCCACATGTTGCTCCCGTCGTGTTGATCATGTAATTATACTCGGATAAAGTTATGAATAACATATTTTTAAAATATTTCTTTTAAGATCAAAATTATAAAAACTAGAATGTCTTCTCTAATACTTGCAATTAATAGATACAGCTAAAAAAAATTATTGGATCGATTCTATATGTTCATAGAAGGTATGCATATCCAGCGTCCTCCTATTTCATGATCAACACGGACTTCTTTTACAGATGTTATAATTCAATAATTCAATAATTCGGCAAACGAAAAAAAAAAAAAGCTATATAAAAATTACAACGTCGTTACTTAGATAATGCCGTATCTTGTCTACTGAATCTTGGTTTGAACACAGTGAATGTTTAGTGTATATTGACATTACGATGGGGTGCATATTCCCGTGAATTTCATCTAAGTTTCATCTATCTTTCTTTTGGAATTTTATTTTCACTCAATGCACAATGGTTCCCTTTTATGTTTTATAATTTTGTCATTTCTGTAACGACTCTATCCTATCAATACTGTGTAGACATATTTTCTAAGTACAGTTTTTAACATAATTGAGCAAATGAATTCAATTCAATTCAATGTTTTATTAAAGTTTCATCTCTCAAACAAGTAGTATATATATTTGTTTAGGGGCCAGCTGAAGGACGCCTCCGGGTGCGGGAATTTCTCGCTGCATTGAAGACCTGTTGGTGACCTTCTGCTGTTGTCTGTTCTATGGTCGGGTTGTTGTCTCTTTGACACATTCCCCATTTCCATTCTCAATTTTACAATCAATATTTATACATTATAAAACAATACTAAATAAAATGAGAGCCATTCTATACAGAATTATAAGAGACCATTAAAATGCATAGATATAATACACTAAACAATATGAAATAAAATATTATTTACAATGAATGAGGTTCATTATTTGAACATTAAAGAGATCAATGAGTCATCCAAATAACACACAGAAGCTACAAAAATCACCAGAAAATAGTAACAAGACGAAAAGATATTGTCAGTGCAAAGAAATCAAATAAGATTCATCGTTTGTAAGATTTCAAAAAGTAAGTAAAAACATATTTACATCAATTGATACCTGCTAAACATGTTCTTTCTATCTAAGTATAGTGCTTAAACTATCAAAACAAAATAAATTAAGTGCCTTTAGTGGTAAGAGATTCATACGTAAATGGAAGATATTTTGGATTTTTATGAAATTATGCCTGCAACTAGAGCTCGAGGAACTAGTATATAGGAAAATTAATATTCATTATATATTTTTGTTCTATTTTTCGAGATAAATCCGTTTGAAAAATTGGGAAAAATGGTATATAAATCTATAGGTTCCCCGTAAAAATACAGAAAGAGTTGAATAATTACACTTAAAACTAAGATTTCTGGAAAACATTTTATACGATTTTTTTAATAATGATATGTTTTCGCTATCAACAGTTTTTTTTCTGTTATAACTATCAATATTTGTGTTGTATTGATACAACATTCATAGATGTATCCTTTTTGTTTGTGGTGCATATATATGACTGTATCTATGGAAGTAATAGTGGCATATAAATCATAAAAAAAAAATCCTATTTGTCGTATGCTGTTTAATAAAGTCAGGTGATATATTTGGAACCTCCCCTCCCCCTAAAAAAAAATCATGCCCCCGAAGCTCGACCACCTTATTAAAAAAAACACAAGCGTGACCCGGGTAAAATGTAGTCATACGTGGACTTGTTTGGCGGTTCGAGATGTATAGATACACAGCCACGTCCGATTCGGTTTGGACGTTAAATCCGATGCCTTTTGTAGGGGAGTGCTATACGCTCTCTGCACATTAAAGAGCACTTGCGAAACCTCTCTAAGTGACCAGTGGATGACTTGTTGCAATGATAGCATATGTCAGCACTGAGGTTTCGAGTTCGAACCCCGCACTGCACGTTGTAGAAAGCGACAATCAATTCAATTAATTTCAGTTAAAAGACAATATATTATTTAAATGCAATGTACCTTAACACATTTAATTCTTACGTTTAATTAAATTACAGTTGATGATATTATGTTACGAGAAATAATTCAAAACTGATCAATTTTAGGTGAAAAAAGAATAATATTGTTTCTAGGTTCGAACGCATTCTATACTAATATTAATTAACGTACAAATACATGTCTGAATAAAAATCGATAAATTTGACGGAGACATTTAAATCAAGTTGAATGAAATTGATAAAAAACCACATTAAAAATCATATATTCAGCAAAATGTGTGTCAGGAGAAACGAGATATAAATCAGTAGTTCAATTAATTATTCAAACTACTAGTAATCAAAAAGTGTGAAGAATGCTGATGTGAGTACGAAATTTTGAAAAATATATTCTCTTGTATATGTAAGTGTGCTTTTTTAATATTTGAAGCATTCGTTCTCTCTTTGAATTTAAAGTTATTATCGATCTTTCTGTTGAAAATGCAAAGAGCAGTGTTCATCCCTATTTGCTGGTACCCAAAATCTCCTTGTGTTAATACACCTTATAGCTTTTTGTCTGTCATTACTGTACATCACAAAGGTTCCCGTAAAATTTTGACGTCCTAATAGAAAATGTGTGACGCCAAAAAGGAAAAGTGATTATTGCATATCCAGAAATCAACGCCACTTTGCTTATTTGAATATTATACTAAAGAAATCGGATACGGGTCACGGAATTATATTGAAATGATAGGGAATTTAGAAAAAATGTCTGTTTTAACTTTGATTTAAGTGAAAGACAGGTTGCCGGGGCAGAAAATAAATATACACAACAATATACACCATTTAAACGAAATGTAATGACTGGCGTTGAAAAAATCAAGGTTCCTGAGCTATTTTAAAAATCGAAGCGAGAGGCTTTTAACATTGCAGTATAAAATACAGGCTAAAATGGCTGAAACGTCAAATTTGCAAACTTCGTGTTGAAAATTGGCTAACAAGGTCATTAGAAATACAGGTTGCCGGGGTGAAACTTGAAACTTGAATGTCCAAAGAATAAGCAAGTCCAAACCTTGTATGTGTAGTCGTTGAACTCTAGGTTCCCACGTAAAGTTAAAATGCCTCTATTTCAAGAAGAATAAACTCACGAAAACACGAAAAATTCACTAAATTCGCGTTCATTGTTTTGATTTTGACCGCCTGACAACTTTACGGAAATATCAGAGTGATTATAAACAAGGACTCTGTGACGGGCAACTTATAATACCCGTGTTTTAAAGATTTTAATGATATCAAGCCAGTCCAGTTCAAACTATTATCACGTGGTACAATTCTCATTTACATATTATGAATATTAATTAGCAAAAGTACTACTAATTTCTGGCTATGGTATGACGTCAGTAGTTCAAGTGTCGCAGATTCTCGGGTCAAAATAGCGATAAGGTCTATTGTGTTTACTAGTGGATTTTCTATATAAAGTACGCAATACACATAAATACATTATTATATTTGCTTTGTCCAACAATAAATAGTAGAATTTATAGGAAAGATTAACCAGTTATGCAAGTAACTTGTCAAATTAAACAATATGCATATATGTAAGACTATATCGCAGGATATCGTCGAAGATAGAGGCTGTCAATAGTGCCATCAGGTGTCACGGCATTTCTATAGCCATTAGTTCAAAGACTTTTCAGTATTTAAGATGAAGAACACCGATAAGACTACTTACCTTATGATTGATTGATTGTCGTTTGCTCAACGTCCAGTGGCAACTATTTGATGTATGTTCAGGAAGAAAAAAATAACAATACATTCAATAGATAAGTCCTGTAATAGTGGCCGACCAGGCGGGTTGAAGGATTTAAAAATTGGACTGCCGCAGGAAAGTGAGGGTTCGAATAGAAATCTAGTCTTGCAACAGACCACTTTCGGACCCCTCAAACAGTTGTTGCAAGGGTTCTTAACGTGCAAAGAGCTTGACACTCTCTGTACACGAGGCATCTGATTTCACATCCCCATTCTGACTGGACGTGGCAGTGTATTTATACATCCAACCAAACGGACTGCCATCTGTTGGCTAGGGTTTTACTGCTGGTCAGAAGAAGACCAAAAAGTATCCATATTTGTATTCCCCAGTCATCCTTGGGTGTTCTAACCAAATATCATGGTTATTTTCAGTATATCTTAGAAACGTTGCCTCATATAAATCTTCTGTTTTATTGGTATAAACTTTCTTATAGCTCTTAATAGCTCTAGCTGTTTCTATTATTTGTTTCCGTGCATTTAAGTATGAGATTGATACACCCACGATACATTCGTTACAGTACATGTATCAAAAACTTAATCTTTTTAACTTGTTAGTTGCTATGCATATGTGTATGCCGTCTGTTTAAGCACGAATTATTCTTGATTTTCTGAAATCATGCCATACATTACATAAAATCATATAATAGACACTATTTTCTCACACAGTACACTAATTCTTAAGATAATAAATATACGTGTATCTTGTACGTGTAAATAAACACATTGTTATAAATGCCTGTTGTGTGCATATTGTGCAAACAACGAGATAGCATCTGTTGTTAATTCACCCTCCATTCCCCCTATATCAATTACCCACGCTATAGATAGAACTGTGTTTCTGACAGTCGCTCAATTGACGAAGTAATTAAATGAAAACAGGAATTAATTCATTAACTTTCTGAAGTGTGAATCTAGTTAATTTACTTAAGCATGACTGCTGATTTTGAATTCAAAGACACGGAGAAGACACCAATGGCGCCAACTGTTTCCATAGAGCAGATCACCATAGTTCGACCGATAAAGGTAAGAATTATCTCGTTTAGTTTTATTAAGCAGGAATAGTTTAGTTTTATTAAGCAGGAATAAGATGTTGTTTTAACAGAGATAGAAAAAAAATATTTTGCTAAGTTCTTTTCCATCTACATACTGGCACATCTTTTGTAATGTCAGTGACCACCTGTTAAACGCTGATTTCTTTTCTTATTTCAAAACATATCGAGAATGAAACAGTTGGTATTAATGGCAGATCTTCGATAGTCACTGTTAAATTATTAACATTTCTATTCTCAGAAAGATTTAGGGAACGACCATTTAAATTCAAGGGGTTATGGTTTTTTCCTAAACAATATTCTGATCCCCAATTTGATGAAAAAAATATTGTGGTCAAGCAGATGACAAAAAAAATTATTCTGAATCCAGATTTTCCCCATACCTTATAGTGTTAAATTTTTTAAAAAGTAATTTGATTAATAGCGTCGAAAAACTAAAAAAAAAATCTAACTCAGACAAAATACCATAACCCCCCTTGAAGTAAAATAGTTGCTCTCTTAGAAATCAAAAAATTTGTATAGATACTTGTCTGTTGTTGCAGACACTGTATGTTGACCTCTGGGTGTCTTTTGGGTTTGTGTCGTTAAGTCAATGACTTATTTGGCATATTCCGCCCATTTATTTATACAAAAAGAGAAAGAATTACCAAATTGTGATTTTAAGTTATGGATTTACTCCTTGTATCTTCAGATCTTCAGTCTTCTTGTTCTGGTAACATTTTTCAAACATCCCTGTAAGAAATTTGGTCTGTTATTTTACAGTTTTGCCGACTTTTTAACGTGAATTGCTGAATATCATATTGTATGTATTTTTTACATTCTCCTTTGTGTTAAAAATAGGAAAAAATATTGCATGTGCTTCAAAACAAATATGAAACGAGAAGATAATGTAACAGTTACGGAATAACACGTGTATATATTTGCCCATCATTAGGTAATCTTTATCATCACTTTAATAAATTTCATACAACGATCAACACATGAAAGTATCATCTAAGTGTGCTTGTGTTTGATTTGGATATATTCCAGAGTCTGCAGGAGTAATTAACTACAAAGTAATTCCTGTCATTTATTATTATAATTCATTGTCGGTTTATCCATAAATTTTTCTGTATTTTGATAAGTATATTGTTATTTTTTTATGTAAATAATATGGAAGACCGTTAACGCATGCATGGTTTTAGCCAGAAATTCCCAAAATACAAAACATATGGCAGAGATACATGTAAATGGTTATTTAAGACGATTTAGATATGTGAGGGTACCGTATCACAGACACTCTTAATATTGTTTTTCATATATACCTTCATATAACAAAGGTATAGAAGAGAGAAAAATTCAGAGAAAAGTGCCTGTGTACCCTATGTGGAACAGAAAATCTTCGGGTCTTTGGCATGATATGCGATTTCGTGTGTGTTTGTGCGTTTTGTTTATCATATTTATATATGTTTATTTTAAAATCTTAAATCTGTGTGTTCTGCTATGTTTTAGGATTTATATTCCTTTTATTTACCTTGTCTGTTTTTCGCTTAGTTCTGTTCGTTCTTTCAATTTTCGTATGCTTTAACTTATCTTCTAATGTAAAGGTCAGTATCTCCTCTACTTTGTATGTTGAGGTTTATTTTGGTCATTCGAAAAATGTCTTTAACTGCTGACATTAATAAATCCATCAATGAAAGTTACCGCAATGAAAATGTACCAATGTACAGAAAATGAACATCAGTCTCTTCCACAATTTAAGGAGAGATATATAACAACGGCGGTATAAAAAGATAATACTCTACGCGTGGAATTGAAAGGCCCATGTCGTTTCTTCATTATTGATGGTCAGCTACTGAAAACCAGGTTTTGATATTTAACCATCAACATGATAAAATTGAGCTTTAATTCCTTAACTAAACGGTCTACACAACTGAAACACAAACGCTAAAGTTGGTCGGATTTTTAACAAGGACAAAAAAGATCCTTTAAAACTTCCTTAGAGTAATTATGATTTGTTGAAAGTTAGGTTTCTATAAATTTCATTTTATATTTGAGGTACTAAGTATGCTTAATTGGTTGCCCTGAGTTTATTTATGAACTGTCATCAAATTGGATCTTCAGTCTAATCTTCATCAGATGTTTGGCCGAAAGATTTGTAATACAGAGGTTTCTTTAAACTGTGTTTTATATTTCAGGTAGTTGTTTTTTTGTGTGCAGTCGTGGATTTACTTATAAACTGTCTGTAAACTTGAAATTCAGTCTAATTTCAATTAGTTATTTCGCCGAAGGATTTTTACAACTGAGGTTTCTATAAACTTTGATTTACATTTCAGGTAGTTGCCCTTTTATGTGCAGTCATGGGTTTATTTATGAACTGTCTGTCAGTAGGATCTACGTCCTGGTTTCAAACAGATTTTGGAAGAGACGGGTTGTGGCAGACATGTGTATTTATTGAGGAAGATGCAATAGAGTGTCGGACTGTTAAAACCTCAGGTATTTTCGTCGAGATTAAAGAAATTTTTAGCCATTTTTACAAGTTTTAACATCCAATATATTGTGTAGTAAGAATAACTTGTTGTCAATGGAGAAATACAGATTGTATTGTAGAAAGTATTAATATGTTTCATAAAGGTTATTTCTCTTATTTCAATATATCCAAAGTGTTGGCGCTTTGTTATCTATTGCTTGTCGGTTTCACAGACAGACATGAGTATAAATCTTGATAGTCATATTCAAAAGGAATCCAACAGGTTATTTTTTTTACAACGGCATTGACTATATTTACTATATATGTTACTTTTCGCTAAGTCTCTGGTATACGTTTTAATGAAAGCGTTGTACTGCTAGATGAATTTTGTGTGAAAGGGGTGGTTTTCCTAAGAGAATCGCATCATATTGAAATCGATAAACTATATGACCGACATAGTTTCATATATAAAAGATTTGTTTGTAAGTAAGTATGTTTATACATAACCGTTAGACTTGGGGAGACTGCAATCAACATAGCAGAACAACTGTTGTAAAGTATTAACCAAAACTATCAACAGTTTCAATACCAGACGGATAACAATCTCAATACTCCTGATACTTGTACCTGAAGTGCAAACTAAAATGCTTATATACTGCTTTGATAAATAATTGAAATTTCAGATAAAATGTGCTAATAAAAATTCCAACATGTTCCTTTTGTACTACCAAGTCTAGAGCCAGCTTTTTAAGAGCTGCATCTATACAAAATTGTATTTAAATTTGTTTGATACAATATAATATGACCTTCTTAAATTTGTATTGAATACATTTTTTTTCAAATAAGTGGGATTTTTTTTTATAGTTTTTTTTTAGAATTCCAAGCCTGTTGTGTTGACTTTTTCTTGAAATGTAACGTCTGGTATCAATAAAGATTGCGACTTAAATCAACAAAATATAAAATAAAACAACTCAGCACAAAGTACTTAAATGAAACAAAATTTTAACAAAAAAATCATAGTCATTTTTTTTTCAATTACAGCGCACAACAACTTCTTGAAATGAAAATAAAATTGATCTAAATTAAATACTAACAAAGAAGAGACAATGCTAACAGAACAAAAAAATTAAAGTAGAAGAAAATAGTTCACAAAATTATTTCAACAATACAATTTTTTAAGGTAATTTAATACATATTTATCCAAATATTATTGCCACTTTGACGCTTTTCAATTTTTTTCTTTAACTCTGGATATATTTTGCAATATATTTTTCAGATTGGTTAGAAGCTTCGCGTGTTTTATTTGTGATTGGGATGGTGATATGCTTCCTGTCTATATTTTTAACATCTTTTGGACTAACTACAGATTTATTTCATCGAAAAGAGAAATATTACATCGCTGGTATGACATTTATGGTACTTGCAGGTAGGCTTTATGTTACAATCACTCGGTATGACATGTATGGTTCTTGCAGGTAGGCTTTATGTTACAATTACTCGGAATGATATGTATGGTTCTTGCAGGTAGGCTTTATGTTACAATTAATCAGTATGACATGTATGGTTCTTACAGGTAGGCGTAATGTGACAATTACTCGGTATGACATGTATGGTTCTTACAGGTAGGCTTTATGATACAATTACTCGGGATGACATGTATGGTTCTTGCAGGTAGGCGGTATGTTACAATTACTCGGTATGACATGTATGGTTCTTACAGGTAGGCTTTATGTTACAATTACTCGGTATGACGTGTATGGTTCTTACGGGATGCGTTATGTTACAATTACTCGGTATGACATGTATGGTTCTTGCAGGTAGGCTTTATGTTGCAATTACTCGGTATGACATGTATGGTTCTTACAGGTAGGCTTTATGTTACAATTACTCGGTATGACGTGTATGGTTCTTACGGGATGCGTTATTTATCAATTACTCGGTATGACATGTATGGTTCTTGCAGGTAGGCTTTATGTTACAATTACTCGGTATGACATGTATGGTTCTTACAGGTAGGCTTTATGTTACAATTACTCTGTATGACGTGTATGGTTCTTACGGGATGCGTTATTTATCAATTACTCGGTATGACATGTATGGTTCTTGCAGGTAGGCTTTATGTTACAATTACTCGGTATGACATGTATGGTTCTTACAGGTAGGCGTTATGTGACAATTACTCGGTATGACATGTATGGTTCTTACAGGTAGGCTTTATGATACAATTACTCGGAATGATATGTATGGTTCTTGCAGGTAGGCGTTATGTTACAATTATTCGGTATGACATGTATGGTTCTTACAGTTAGGCTTTATGTTACAATTACCCGGTATGACATGTATGGTTCTTGCAGGTAGGCTTAATGTTACAATTACTCGGTATGACATGGATGTTACTTGCAGGTAGGCTTTATGTTACAATTACTCGGTATGACATGGATGTTACTTGCAGGTAGGCTTTATGCTACAATTATTCGGTATGACATGTATGGTTCTTACAGGTAGGCTTTATGTTACAATTACTCGGTATGACATGTATGGTTCTTACAGGTAGGCTTTATGTTACAATTACTCGGAATGACATGTATGGTTCTTGCAGGTAGGCTTTATGTTATGATTACTCAGTATGACATGTATGGTTCTAACTGGTAGGCTTTATGTTACAATTACTTGGTATGACATGTATGGTTCTAACTGGTAGGCTTTATGTTACAATTACTTGGTATGACATGTATGGTTCTAACTGGTAGGCTTTATGTGACAATTACTCCGTATGGCATGTATGGTTCTTGCAGGAATTCATTATGTTACAATTAAACGATGAAATGCACGAAGTATCATTTGTAAAAAATGTTCTTTGACTCTTCCATTTTATAATAATTATGCTGTTATTGTGAAATCATTAAGTATAGAGTTTCTCTTGGTTTTTGGACTCCCCCAGATGTCAATACATGTCTTTTTCAATTGTCTTGTAAGAAACAGTTTATTGGCGACAGACTTTTTTGTAGTCTCTGTTGTATTTTTATCACAGCTATTCTAGACTCGGGACTATTTAGAGTTAGTTACATGGTGTAGACACTTGACAACAATTGACGAACGTATCTTGACCTCTAGATTTTTTTTTTCGTGTTGTTGGGTTTCTGTCTCATTGACGCATTTCATCATCTCTTTTTATTTATATGGTAGACGCCATTTTATTTCTATAAACATGATACATGGCTATTATCGAGGAAGTTATGTCGGATTCGTTTGAGCCTACTTTAAATTTTTAACGCACATTGTATACTGACTTGAGAAATTTAACTCGATATAGAATAATATTAACCAAAGAAATTGACAACGAAAACTTTAAAGAAATCGAAACTTACCATTTAAAATTGTTTATACTTGAAAGAAAGCTTAGCCTAGTAACATGATATTATGCAGATTTAAATTTTATTTCAGCTATATCAGAAATGATTTGTTTAATTATACATCCAGTCAAATATAACGAGGAATTGGAAAAGGCAGGTATACACCTTTCCTGGGGTATGGGCTGGTCATATGGACTAGGATGGATAGCTGCTATATTAATGACTGTTGGTGCTGTTATCCTGTACATCGACAAAAATGCAGATGAATTGATTTATCGTGAGAAAACATCTTATAATGATTCAATAGAAGAAGCGTACGACCCTTGAATCCTCTGATAGACTGGTTAAAGTTATTGATACTGGTAATTGTTATGATCTCTGCTTTATCATGTCTTAATAATTGCAATATATTTACTGTAGATATACCTTCGAAAAATTGTAAAGCATTTTAGATCAGCATACGAACAATCTGATTTTATTTAGTGTTACAATTCCTGCACTTAAATACTTACAAATGTTCTGTGTAAATTTTAAACATATGAAAGTTGTTGAAAAACACGAATTTACGTTCGAAACAAACTCTATGAAACTACGATATGTTTAAAAGATAAAACTCTATTTTGTGCAAAGAGTATTGTCTATTGAACGGATGATTTGTATACTTGAAATGCTGTGTTCAATTATCTTTATGTGTAAGAGGAAATACTTCTGATTTTCAACCTCTTTGTAAAAATCGTTTTGAAAGTTAAGCATTTTAATTTGTGATACTGCACATGTACATGTTGCTAACTGATGATGTATTACGTATGCATTTGAGTGTCTGCAAGTTTTTTTTCACGAAATATGTTTTCGATAAACGTTTTACTTTAAACAGTATTTATTATTGAAAAACAATAAAGTAGTACAATTTTACACAGCAGTCAAATATGCATGGGTTTCGGAAACAAGTTTGGAAAAACTTTTATAAATCCGTCTCCCGAAACGTTTTACACAAATGGCTATTTGGTTCTGAAGAAAAAAAAGACATATCACAACGACCTTTTTATTATACGACCGCAAAAATTGAAAATTTTTTGGTCGTATATTGGTATGACGTTGGCGTCGTCGTCGTCGTCGTCGTCGTCGTCGTCGTCGTCCGGCGTCGTCCGAAGACACATTGGTTTTCGCACTCTAACTTTAGTTTAAGTGAATGGATCTCTATGAAATTTTACCATAAGGTTCAATACCACAAAAGGAAGGTTGGCATTGATTTTGGGGGTTATGGTACCAACAGTTAAGGAATTAGGGGCCAAAAAGGGGCCAAAAATAAGCATTTTTGTAACTTCCAGACATAACTTGTGTGTTAGTATATGGATCTCTCTGACATTGTACCACAAGGTTCCATATCACACAGGGAATGCTGGGATTAATTTTGGGGGTAATTGCCTCAAAATATTAGGAATAGGGGCCAAAAAAGGGACAACTTTCTAGTTTCCAGACAATAACTTGTGTTCAAGTGTATGGATCTCTCTGAAATTGTACTGCAAGGTACCATACCACAAAGGGAAAGCTGGGATTGAGTTTGGGGGTGATGAATCATAAGGGGGTTCAAAAAATTTGGGGGGGGATTTTTTTTTTTTTCCTTTTTTTTTTCTTTTAAAATTTTCCATTTTAAGTTGGTTATTTCTGTTTTATATTTAAAAGCAAATAATAACGATATGGTAGGAGATACACACCAAACAGGATGTGTAAATTATTATAAAATAAGTATTGTGCAATAGCAAGAAATTTTCAATTGCACAGTATTGCACAATAGCAAGAAATCTTCAATTGCACAGTATTGCGCAATAGCAAGAAATCTTCAATTGCACAGTATTGTGCAATAGCAAGAAATATCCAATAGCACAATATTGCGCAATAGCAAGAAATTGTCAATTGTACAGTATTGCGCAATAGCAAGAAATATTCAATTGCACAGTATTGTACAAAAGAAGATACTTCGTATAAATTGCTTATTTCTTGACCAATTTCAATGGGGTTTTATTCTTGAATTCTTGGGGTTCTTTAATATGCTGATTCTAACCGTGTATTAAGTTTTTGGATTTTGGGCCCCGTTTTTAAATTGGTCCACATTGAGGTCCAAAGGGTCCAAAATTAAACTTTGTTTGATTTCATCAAAAATTGAATTATTGGGGTTCTTTGATATGCCGAATCTAATTGTGTATTTAGATTCTTAATTTTTGGTTCTGTTTTCAAATTGGTCTACATTAAGGTCCAAAGGGTCCAAAATTAAACTTAGTTTGATTTTAACAAAAATTGAATTCTTAGGATTCTTTGATATGCTGAATCTAAACATGTATTTAGATTTTTGATTATGGGCCCAGTTTTCAAGTTGGTCCAAATCGGGGTCCAAAATTAAACTTTGTTTGATTTCAAAAAAAATTGAATATATGGGGTTCTTTGATATGCTGAATCTAACCATGTATTTAGATTTTTGATTTTTGGGCCCCATTATCATCTTAGTCCACATTGAGGTCAAAAGGGTCCAAAATTAAACTTTGTTTGATTTCATCAAAAATTGAATTCTTGGGGTTCTTTGATATGCTGAATCTAACCATGTATTTAGATTTTGGATATTGGACCATAATAGTTGAATGTCCAATTTAAAATTTTTAAGTTCTTAGACCACATTCATTCTGTGTCAGAAACCTATGCTGTGTCAAATATTTAATCACACTCCAAATTCAGAGCTGTATCAAGCTTGAATGTTGTGTCCATACTTGCCCCAACTGTTCAGGGTTCGACCTCTGCGGTCGTATCAAGCTGCGCCCTGCGGAGCATTTTATTTGTATTGTTTTACAGTCTTTCATTTTTTTAAGAAATATATTAATGTTATCGCGGTTACTGTGAATTAATTTAATTACCGTGGATACAAATTACAGTTGATTGAAATCGTCATTGGTAGTAATTTTTGTCAACGTATATGTGTTCTGTCTGACAGAATTACTTCTGGAAACTTTGTTATATGTTATAAACAATGTTTTAATGTCTGTTCCTATGGAAATAATACTCTGTACCCTTTATTCCGTTAGGAACAAATACTGCTATATTTTTTCCTGGCGAGAACATTTCTACCATTTAGAACTTTTATTAAGGAACTTCTATTCCATGACAACTTTTATTAAGGAACTTTTATTCCATGACAACTTTTATTAAGGAACTTCTATTCTATGACAACTTTTATTATTATTCATTCCTATTCACAATAGCAGAGATAATTTAAAAATATATTTTTTTCTTTGCAATCTTTTATAAGTGCAATTCGAAGCGTATCTCTGGAATTATCTCTTGTTCGTGTGAAGAAAACGTCAATAAGACAGCAACCCATCTTGAACGCAAATAATAAAAACTGAAGAAGAACAACGCATGAATAAAATATATGGGGAGGTTTTTTATTAAGTGGACATCATAGCAACATTCATGTCATAAAGTTTCTAACCGAATTAAATCATGTATCAATAAAGCATAGCACAGCGATTCTGGCTTACGTGAACCATTTGAATCTCGTTACAGTTATATGTGATATGTTGATTTTCTTGTCGGTTGAAATATGTCATTCCATTAGTATGCATTATTTGTCTTAATTTGAGTGAATCCTTGTATTTTCCGACGTTCCATCCAATCTACACCTTACAATTGAGGAGTTTGAGTATATCTGTAATACGATTATTGTTCCTTTAATGCATTTGTTTGTTTTGTCGATTTTTTATCCATTTGTTACATTTATATTTTTATATAAACACATTTGTATATAATGTTGTTGAAATATACAAAATAATAAATTCCTACCAAATTATTTGTTCAATTTTAATTATTTTTTATGGAGGATCATACACGCACGACGATGCAAATTATGTAGAATTTAATTCTTAAAAAATCCATAAACACAAGAGAAAAAACAGAAACTGTATCATTGATTGATTGATTGATTGATTGATTGATATTTAACGCCACTTTCAGAACTATTTTGCTATTTCGTGGCGGTCAGTTTTTATTGGCGGAGGAAGTCGTAGTAACTGTAGAGAACCACCGACCTTCGGTAAAAAACTGACAATCCTATTCAATCAAGATTAGAGTCTAGCTCACCTGCCACGTGCGGGATTCGAACTCACAACCTCAGTGTTGATAGGCTAGTGATACAGTAGTTCGACTACTTTTATTTTAGCCACACGGCCACCGAGGCCCCTCAGAAACTGTATCAGAAACAGAGAATATACTTTGATACGTGTGAACTGAATCTATGAAAAGAATAAAAGAATCATATTCTACTCTTATGCTAATCAGATTATAAAAAACGGATTCTAGGAGATTCTACATGGAGAATACAAAATTGGTAGATATGGTATTATTGTCAATGAGATTTTTTGTTTTGTTTGCCGTATATTTTTTTTGGCCTTATGACATCAGTCTGTATAAATATGAGAACTAACGATGAATAATTGTACTTCATCACAAATCATCGCAAACCAGATAAATGAAATGTTGTAAAAGGTTTGAAAGGAATGAACAATACACTAATGTTGACAGTGATACATTTTGCTTTCTAATTCAGCCAGGTTGAAGTATAACGAGTGTACCCATAAGTTGAAAAACATGCGGCAATATGCCACAAAATATGAGACATGTATAATGAATATTTCATCCAAATAATCATACGGGGTGTTAAAAACATTAGGGGGAGGGTTGAGCGCTCATACACATGTTTAACTGGGCATATTATTTAGGTACATGTCTCAAGTCAGGAGCCTGTAGTACATTGGTTGTCGTTGGTGTTTGATTTCCGTAAATTGTTTTGTTATAAATTAGTCCATTAGTTTTCTCATTCGAATTGTTTTTCACATTTTTCATGTCGGGGGTCGGAGTCTATTATAGCCGACTATACGGTATAAGTGTTTACATTTTTGAAAGCCGTATGGTGGTCTATAATTGCTTACTACCACTTCATTTTAACTCTGGTGGATAGTTGTCTCATTGGCAATCATACCAAATCTTCTCATTTTTATATTAAGTAATGACAGCAATTGTCAGAGAGATCCATATTCTTGTAAGTAAGAGTGTAGCTCTAGTCAAACAAAAAGTCCGAACAAGAATCACAGACAAAAACTACATGGAAGATTAAAATCGTTTTTTTTTTTAATCTAGGCATGTGCACTGAATGTTGCGATTTTTTACGTCATGGGATATTTGACAAAGACAAAAAAAAACATTTTGTAACATCAATATTACTGGAAACGAGATAAAATTTAACTCGGCTTTATTGAAGTGAATTATAGCACAAAATATATCAAGTGTATAAGAAAAACCAAAAGCAAAGAAATGAAATTTCAAGATATTAATAATTAGGATATAGAACATGCCGTCGACTTTTGTCCTGCGATTGTTACTTCGTAATAAGAAACCGCTCCTTGAAAACTGCTGCATAAAAGCAAGCACCTCTTGTCCTTTTCATAGAATACCCCCGTTGGGCAATCAAGTCCATCGGTTTTACTTAATAATACCTTACTCTGTTTTCCATCTGGTGATATCGCAACGACGTTGTTAGACCAACGACCGGTAACGTAGATGTGTCCCTCTTCGTCATACGTGATAGCTCGAGGGTTACGTAGATTTTCATCTTTAAATTTCCAAAGCGGTTTCCCGTCACGATCACAGCAATGAATAGTATGCGTATTCCATTCGGAATAAACAATTTGATCGTTACATACTGCAACGTACCACACATTCGAAACACTCAGCGATAAAGATACTTCAACGTTTCCTTCAAGATCTATGAATTTTATGCCGTCTCGATGAGAAACTACCACTAGTTTCCCATCAGAAAAATCAATTCCATAACACTGACTTTCGACATCAAACCGTTGAATAGTCAATCCACTTGCCACATCGATGATAAGTATGGCATGTTCCAAAGGCACAGTCACGGCAACTCTTTGTCTTCCGAGTACAGTCAAATCCCAAGGCTGATTCGGAAGTGGTATGTCACGATTATGACCACCATCTTC